TTCTGCCTCCTAGCCTTGGCCGCGGTGGCCCACGGCGCCGACAAGCCGAACATCCTGGTGATCTGGGGTGACGACATCGGCACGTGGAATATCAGCCACAACAGCCGCGGGATGATGGGGTACCAAACCCCGAACATCGACCGCATTGCCCGTGAAGGCGTTTCCTTCACCGACTATTACGGTCAGCAAAGCTGTACGGCCGGGCGGGCGGCTTTCATCGGTGGCAACGTCCCGGTCCGCACCGGTATGACGAAGGTCGGAATGCCAGGCGCCCCACAAGGTTGGCAGAAGACCGATGTCACGATGGCCACCGTGCTGAAGAGCGCGGGCTACGCCACGGGCCAGTTTGGCAAAAACCACCAAGGGGACCGCGACGAGCACCTCCCCACGATGCACGGATTCGACGAGTTCTTCGGCAATCTCTACCACCTCAACGCCGAGGAAGAGCCGGAGAACATGGACTACCCCAAGGACCCCGAGTTTCGCAAGAAGTTTGGTCCGCGCGGCGTCTTGCATTGCAAAGCCGACGGCAAGGGTGGTCAGACCATCGAAGACACCGGCGCGCTAACCAAGAAGCGGATGGAGACCATCGACGACGAGTCGATCAAGGTCGCGAAGGAATTCATCGAGAAACAAAGTAAAGAAGGCAAGCCTTTCTTTTGCTGGTGGAATGCGACTCGCATGCATTTCCGCACGCATGTGAAGGAAGAGAACCGTGGCATTTCCGGCCAGGACGAGTACAGCGACGGCATGGTCGAACACGATCGCCATGTAGGCGAATTGCTTGAGCTGATCGATGAACTCGGACTCGCCGAGAACACGATCGTTCTCTACTCGACCGACAACGGCCCGCACTACAACACGTGGCCCGACGCCGGTACGACCCCCTTCCACGGCGAGAAGAACTCGAACTGGGAAGGCGCCTTCCGCGTGCCGGCATTCGTTCGCTGGCCGGGCGAGTTCCCCGCCGGCGAGACCCGCAACGGCATCGTCTCGCACGAAGACTGGCTGCCGACCTTCGCCGCCGCCGCTGGCGTGACCGACATCAAAGAGAAGCTCCGTGAAGGGGTCGAGNNTCGAGCTCAACGGCCGCACCTACCGCAACTACATCGACGGATACAATCAGCTCGACTACCTTAGCGGCGAGTCTGAAGAGTCGCCGCGTAAAGAGTTCTGGTACGTCGGCGACGACGGCCAGGTCATGGCCGCTCGCTACAACGACTGGAAAGTGGTCTTCCTTGAAAACCGCGCCAATCGGCTCCAGATCTGGAAGGAGCCCTTCGTCCAGTTGCGTGCGCCCGACCTCTACAATCTGCGTCGCGACCCGTTTGAGAAGGCGAAGATCGGCTCAAACACGTACGAAGACTGGTACATCGACCGCGCCTTTGTGATGATTCCGATCCAGCAGATGGCGGGGAAGTTCTTGATGACGATGAAGGAATTTCCTCCGAGTCAGAAGCCAGGCTCCTGGAACCTCAGCGAGATCGAGGAGCAGATCAGCAGCGGTATCGGCAGCAACTAGTCTCGGCTGCAACTGGCGACCCCCGTTGAAGCTGTTTGGCAACAGTCACTGACGTAAGATTATAGCGTTCTTCACTTTGCCGTAGCGTCTCGCGCAGAGACGCGGAGATGCAGAGTTGGATGCCTTGAAGACTCACGCAATGGCGCTAAGGCGCAAAGGACGGGCTGCTGTGCGATCGTTCGCACGAGAATCTCCGTCATTGCGCCTTTGCGTGAGTCTTCGCTGACGTTCAATCGCGGCGCGTAGCGATGGCGAGCGTCAGCAGTGTCGCCAGGGCGATCGCGGAGGGCTCAGGGACAGCGGTGCTGGCCGATAAGGACTGGCCGAAGGACGCTGCCCAGACATCGTAGTCGGACTGCCCTACGGTTCCGTTGCCCGAGCCGTCCGCGGCGAGGCCGACGCCCGTTTGGCCGAGCGAGTCACGCCACACCGTGTAGTCGCCGGCGTCCACGACGCCGTCGCTGTTGTAGTCGCCGGCTAGCGTCGTCGTGGCGGGGCGCTGCCAGACGCGGACATAGTCAATGTCCATGTGCTGCGGGAAGACGGTCGAAGCGTTGGGGTCGCCGCCGAAGTGCCCTCCGACCGCGAGATTGAGGATGATGTTTTTAGCCGTCGCGAAGATCGGCACGTTGTGCGTCGCTTCGCTTACCTGCCAGTGCATGAAGTCATCGACGTAGAACCGCATCACGCCCGGTTCCCATTCGACGGTGTAGGTGTGATACCCGCTATGGAAGTTGACAGGGACGCCGCCGACGGTTGGGGCGTATTCGTCGTAGATGTACTCGTGCTGGCCGCAGCAGGGGCCTGGGTTGCGCTGGAAGTGGTAAGCGCTGCTGACGAGGTTCGGCTGGCTGCCGCGGTTCTCCATGATGTCGATCTCACCGCCGGTGGGCCACTGCGTGCCGTTCGGCAAGAGCCAGAACGCGGGCCACATGCCCTGCGTTGTTGGCAGATCGATCCGTGCCTCGAAGCGGCCGTAACTATACGCATCCTTGCTTTCCAGCCGCGCCGAGCGGTACTGCTTGCCGTCGAAAGGCTGGTTGGTCGCAGTGATCCGCAAGGCGCCGTCAACGATGCTCGCCTGCTGCGGTCGGTAATACTGCAGCTCGTTGTTGTGGCTGTTCTTGAGATTGATGACGTTCCACTCAGACGTGTTGACCGACGTAATCTCAAACTCGTCTTGCCAGACAAGATCCCAGCCAGTGCGGTCTGGAACGACACCTGCGTATGAAACGCTCACCGTCAGGCTAACCAGAGCGATGACGGCGAACCGTGTAAGCAGCGAAGGCGGTTGGCTGGTCATCAACTCTCTCGGTCGTAACCTAGTGACGCAAAGATGAGCTAAGCGGGGACGCTTAGCTCATCTTACTCACATGCCGGCCGGCAGACGCATCGGCGTCAAGAACCGCGAAATAATCGCGGCGCCGATCGTCATCGCGACGGATTGCGGCTCGGGCACCGCGGTCGTCGATGTGGCTGCCTGTCCAAAGGTCGACTCCCAGATGGCGTAGTCGAGGTGGTCGACGACGAGGTCGCCATTGCCGTCGGCAGAGAGGCGAGTCCCGGTCCGGCCCACGTTGTCGCGCCAGAGCGTGTAGTCGGC